TACTTCAAAATTTAAAATTAGATTCGTCAGTTTTTTTGTTTGTCTGTCTATGTCCATTCTCAGAGTGTCAAAACAACATAACTAGAAGCACGTCGGGCTTTTTAAATTTCATAAACATACTTTGTTGTGATTTAAACTAAGGAGCAATTCTTATCGGGTTGTCAAAGAAATTTCAAATAGCTTTTGAAATCTAAATTTTTACTTTCTTAAATTTATTTATAGATAAATTTGAAATCTCGACTGGCACTACGCCTATACAAAATGGTGGTGCAAAACCTAATATGTATATGGTTTTAATTTCATCACATGTATTCTTCGAACTTCAATTAATAAGTAGAATTTTTCTATAAAATGGTTATTGTTTGTAGTTTTCCAATTAAATTTGAAAAACCTTAAATAAACATATTTTTTATCACTGATTAGCCTTAACAATCAAATTAAGAAGTAATTTCGACTACTAAAATCTTAATTGGGTTCTATATCCCTATAACAATAGGTTTATGTCCACTTTTTAAATAAAACACTTGAACGGTTTAAAACGTGATATATTAGTGAAACTTATTTGAAAATGATTTTTAACTTCGGCCCGACACTTTAACTTCGGATGCTTTGCAGCAGCCGTGACCAGGGCTGTTAAAGTTAAAGTGTTTATTTAAATGTGTACTACTCGCGTAACTATAGACAGCATTCCACTATCTATTTGTGTTCAGAATTCAGACTACCATATTATATGATTAAAAATAATGGAACCTGAACGGCACTTCATTCATTAAAAAGCGGTTTGTACTTCGCTATGTCCTCCAATTAACTCGTAATGGTAAAAACTAGTATGTGCATTTAAGGCTCCAAGATCCATTGTCAATGAGATACCGGTATTGAAGGAATAATTTGCTAAACTATTAAATAAAACTACTCCGTTAGCCTTCGTACCTCAGTGTTAAACGTGTTGCTTGGCAATTTATCGCAATAATAAGCAAGAGAGGTCCTAGGTTCGAATATTGGGGAATTAATAAAACGATATGGTCAAGCAGGGTACAGCTGATCAACTACTTTCTTGTAAATAAATTCGATCACAGAACCGGACACAGAAGTGTGTGTGCCCCCATGTATGTCACGGGAAAATGTATGTTACTATTTACTTAATGAAAACTAAAGATAAACGTCGGGATAAAGTGTTTAGAGAGTGTATTACTACAGTCAGTTATAAATGAAAATTTTAGAAAGTGTTAAAAGTAATTCATGTATTACAGGTAACGTTAAGTACTCTAACGAAAAACGTAAATGGGTAAAATTTTTGATTGCACTTTTGTTCAAACATCAATGTACCAATTGATATAACTCATCTAGTGACCTAATATAATTTTACTAATTGTAGACTTTGAAAAAAATTCACGATCACTTTAAATGATTAAGTTCGTATTAAGAACTCTTAGTAACTACTTAAAGATGTGAAAAAGTCAAGTTATCCACTTATTTAGTTCAAACGATCGCTAGTGTTGGCGTTATTTGTCTAATTTCCTCGAGAACAAAAGAGCTTCGTAATTAAATATATAAGAGTCCACAGATAAATATTTTTCTATAAGCTTTCCGCAAATTCCGTAAGAGATTTTTTTTCGACCTAATAAAAAATCTATATATATATATAAACTGAAGAAGGCTCGGGGCTATAAAACACTGCGTTGCGACTAATATGAGCAAAGAAACGTAGTAAAATGTAGAAAAAAACTAATATGAATGGAGGAATTCCTCTTAATTTTTCAAGATAAACGTGTAACGGGTTAAATTTATAGACTTGAACAAATTTAAATGCCCAAAATAACTATTCTCCTCGGACGAAGTGGCTGACACAGCTAGTATAAACATATCTTTGTTAATGACTTGAAATAATTACTCAACAATATCGCCGTACAACGATTTCATAAAGTAATATGTGTCGGAAAATGTATAAAAGTTTGGTATTCTACATAGAAAAGAATACTGAACTAATTTTGATTAAATTTAAGCACTGAAGATGAGCATTTTGATGAGCACCTTTCAAGACATCGTACGCGAAATGCCACAGATAACTGTTCAAGACATGACCGTATGTAAAAGATGACAATGCATTTAAATGTGTGTGAAATTCCGTTACCTATGTGGGGCATGATAGACATATTTTAGTGACTGTTTCACAGATACATGTTACGGGCAAGATCATATTTTGTTTCCCCGCCTCATCGAAACTTATTTTTCCGGAGATTCGAAGTCCAGACCTCTAATTTCAAGTAATACATAGATGATTCATATGACAAAAAAACAAAAAAATATCAAGATTTTTTTGTTTAAGTAATGTCCGTAGTTTACGCGAGTAGTATACAATGATATAAAACAACGGGTTAAAACGCGAAGTTTATTAATTAACTTATCTACAATTTATTACAACTACGGCCCGAGGTTTTGGGTGCTTTGTGCTCTGTTGACTGTCTCGCCCACGTTAACTGATACATTTGTTTTTCAAAAGAGAGTTTAATGTCGCTCGTCCTTATGTACAGCGGCTTTTTAATATTTACATCGAATGTGTTAATTAACATATAAATTAAATTATCCTTTGTTAAAAACTGAAAGAAGCGTAACGGGGCCAGATTGAACGATGATATTTAACGCGGTAATTATCTGCAGGAAATATGGCGCAATTACTGCACTTTATCTAATTCGGTTTTCATTATATATTTCTAGGTCAACACTCCACATATAATACGTGAGTTTTCGCGTTTTTCGGCCTTTATCGGGTCTATTACACATAAAGCCTATTGTCTAGCTACGAGATCGTTTTCTAGACATTAATGGCATACACACATAAAAAAAAATAAACTGAGAGAATTAAATTTAAACTCACTTAAAATATTTTTAAAAAATCAGCAAATATTCAGTTATAATACTCATTGCCCTCAGACAAGTTAAGCGATAAATCCTAAGTTCGAATCTCTGCGAAACATGCCGGTGCCTTTTTGCCTATTGTCTACTAAAATTGCTTACAAAAACAGACTCATAACTGTGCCTGACATCTTCCCTATATTTAAATAATGTGCTGTTGCTAGTTTTATTTAAAATATAATTGATTTTTAATTTGCATTGCACGTGCTATTACTACTTATTATTATTTATGCACATGCTATTGCCTGCGCATATGCATGCAATAACATTTAAATGTTCGAAACGGGATGTCAAAATAGATTCAGATTATTCCTAATTGATATTGGTAGTAGTTGAGGTTAATAGTTCTAAGTTATTTTCGCTAAAATCAAGTAAATAGGCATCAGCCAATGTATTGATGCACATTTTTAACTTTCCATTGTCTCGTTTTTACGTCTTGTTTCCGAACTGTTGTTAATCGCGTTAACGTGTGAAAATATTTTTTTCCAAACGAAATGTGAAACTACATTTACTACTATCCAATTTTAACGGTAAAAATAAATTGACAGCTCACCACCAACACCAAAATTACGCAAGTACAAGTTACGCGACTTATTTTTAATAGTACTTACAGGTGCAATAATATTATAAGTAATAAACTTAATTATAATTATATAAATAAAGTTTAATATCTAAATCTTGTAAGCACAACACTATTTTAAATTTGCCACAGTTAACATTCAAATCGCGATTTTGGCGCGGTTCTTTGACACGTGCAACACTAGTAAAGGTCGCGGCTAGACTGCGTATATGTTTGACGCCACAGATAATACAAGCCATAATTGGTTGGGATCCACATAACCGTTGTTAGATGTTACACGTTGTTACCTTGTATGTAAACTACTTTACATAAGAAAGTAAGTTGTGGGTTGACGATAATGGGCTTGTCTATTTCAAACAAACGGATTGAAACAATATGATTATATAAAAGATCAGGCACTGTATGTAACAGCTTAGGTGTTTGTTGTGTAATTAAGGCAAATATTTCGATGGATAGTCGCTCCCTCGTTTTAACATTTATACATTTCAAGGGTCGATGTACACGAGATATTATTCACGCTATGAAACTTTTTCAACCCGGAACTGTCGGGCCGTAGTTATGCAATAAATTGTAAATAAGTTAACTAATATATTACGGGTTTTAAACCGTTAAAATGTTTTATTTAAAGCAACGGTACTTATGTGAACTGGTGTGTGGAAATATAGGTATTACCTAGCAGAAATTTAAAGATAATTTATTGTTTTTAATTGATGAATTATTCTAATACTACTTCCTCTACCTATCCATCGTTAGGTACTTATGTGTGTACTATAGAATATATTATACATCGATACTGTTTAATGGAATTACTTTACTGTTAATTAACATCTAGTGTAAAAAATAATTTCTGTGTCGAATCACTAATACTGTAATTAAATTCGATCTATGTCTTGAAGTATCAAATAAAATAATTATCCCCGCTAACGACCAGAGCTAGGCCAAGGAGAAGGCGATCGTTTCGTTTCGTATATAATAAATACTTCGGTCATTTAATATCGTGTTCAAATAATATAATACTATGTGACCTCGGCACACAATGCACTTTCACATGTGCATCTACTAATAATTGCGATACATGCGTGTATTACAATAAATAATTATTCATGAGCAATGGACATGAGTATGTAATTTAATTGGCTCTATAAAATTTGACTATTTCCTCACATACTTCCAGATATTATTATATACTTACTTTTGTGCTTTAGAGAGTAGCTAAGTTCTCGTTGACATTAAAATAATTTAAGGCAAAAATAAAGGATGTTATAGCTGAGAGAAAAATACTCTTAAACCCCTAGGTTTGTAACGAAACCACTAAATTTGTTGTAATCAAATAGTTTTACTCCAACTTTTACTATTTAGTAAAGCGCCATCTAGATGTTACATTCTTATACTATTAATATAACCACTCAAGATCTAGTAATCGTAGTTCCTAAAATGATTTCCAGATGTCGCTATTGTAACTAGATATAATAATTATCGAAAACATAGGTTAGAATGAGTAACTTACCTTATCAGCCTTATCTGTTGGGGGTGAGGCAGGTGGACTCCGCGGTAGACCCAAGTCTTCATCATCATCGCTGTCACCCCGACCACGCCGTCTTACCGCCGCTACTAGCTCCGCCTACAACATAAAATACATTCAGTAAGCACCAAAGACTAAGAAAAAAAATGTATATTATATAAGGATTATTTTTCTATATTACTTTATATTATTATGACGATTGATTAAGAGTGATTTTTTTATTCGCTTGACAAGTCTAAGTTTATTTTATTTTGCCAATTATTTTATCCTCTATTAGTTACTTAACTCCAAATTTGCAATAGAAACTCACAAAAGATATATTAACATAGTAATAATAAATAAAATAAAAAAATCTTTTTTAACATATTTAATTATACTAATTAGACAAACTGTCGTAAACTGACGCCGGTAGGAAATGATAACACTATCTAAGCGTACGCAGCTGTTTCCTGCAGTCGAGACATTTAAAAAATTACAATATGAACATCTTTTGATTTTGTCAATAGAATTTATAATAATAGTAATCATTTATTCGTTAGAAAAATTAAGGCATTTCTTGAATGTAATGAGTATTAGTCGGGTTGGTAAGAATGGACTCAAGTCGTATATTAGTGTTAGTCACTAGAAGAATAGAACATAGAAAAGAGATAAAATATAACACGACAAAATATTATACAACAATTTGTAATTTGTAGTTTAATTAACACTTAGGCAGCTGATAATAATCGATATACTTAGATTTTATTCTTATCGAACACCTATATCTAAAGATGAAATTTGCATTCAAATTAAAAACGTAAAAAGAAAACACTTAAAAATTTTAATGCAAAATTTAACAGTTAACTTATTTTTAACCTTGACACGACCATTTTAAAACGAAATAAAAAGTATACCTATCGCGGTTAAAAAATATATTTTTTACTCGCATGATCTCTAGTTTATATAGACAATACTTAACAATTACAAAAGATAAACCGACCTTTATTTTTTTTTGTTCCACTCCTTAAAAAAACCTAATAGTAACTACTTTATTGAAGGTAGTCCAACTTTAAATAACACATTCTCTAGTCATTTGTTTTATTTACTGAATTTCGGAGTACCTACCCATAATCTAGCAAGCTTTCCTTCTGTTATCCAAGTGAACCTTTTCTTCCATGCTTGACTCATAACCATCGGGGACTAACCACTATCCACATTAGAACAATTTTTTTTTCGCTACATATAAGAATTTAATAAACGTTCAGGGAAGCGAGCTTTAAAATTCCACTACAGACGAGCTATACGAATTGACAGAAGCCTGTGGTTTGGATCAAGGCAAATAACTAGTGCGTCAATAGCCAGAAATAGTCAGGATAAGTGTATAATAAACTAATGTTTTCCTTGTAATAACTTATTGGAAATTTTATGTAATTTATTTCAGCGAAGAGCCTAACCATTTAGGTGTCGCTTGGGACTGAGACTAACGGAGATACAAATATTTTTCTTGAAGAAAGTTTTTGGGATAACTCTAAGATTCGAGACGATTTTATCCAAGCAATACTTAAAGGTTTTACGTAGGTTCCGTACACAAGGGGTAAACTATGACTCTATAACAAAAACTTCGACGTATGTCTGTCTGTTTTACTATCTTGTATCTCAAGAACCACAGTAACTCTCATTAATTGTGTATTCAGTTGCCGGTATAATAAACAACACTAAAAACTAAAGAATAAGCTCTTAAAAAACACCATTTTTTGTCTATTTTACCGATGTCAATAAATGATAAAAGGGTGGCAAATACTGCCTTAATTAAAAAAATATTATGAAATTTCTAGACCTTTGTTTATCTTATAAATGGTACGGAACCACTCGTGCGCGAATCTATCTGGCCCTTAGTCGGTTCACATATTTTGCTTTTGAAAACGATGCTCTTTTGTTAATCGAGTAAGTATTTATAAGTATTATGTTGGATATAATCTTATAATCTATGAATTTATATAACTTTGACCTAAAAGCCAAGTTTGTTTCGCAAGTTTCCTACACCTACGTGGTAACATGCAAATTACTAAGTTGCAAAATGTATTGGAATTTTGATGTACAAAAAGTTGTTTTGCGTTTTCTTACAAAAATGATACTAGAATATAATCTAGAAAAAACATGTAACTAACAGAAAATAATAGGCAAGACTGGCCTAAGTTGACGACAGCAAAGAAAAAATGATTTAATATGTATGTTTCACATCCAGGGGTCATCCATAAAGTACGTCACACGTAAAGGGGGCAGTATAGTGAATTAGCAACTCGATATTCCCTTAAACGATATAAAAATACTCAGACGAGTTGTTGTTGTACAGGAAACCGATACCCACTACTGACTCATCAATTAAGGTCTGGTTTGACTCATGTTCACTAAGTATAACCTGATTGAAGTAAATATATTTTCAAGTACTAACAACATTACAGTGAATAATACTGCCCCTTTGGTCTTGTTCTTAGTGAACTGGGCTGCACATCAGGGGTTCTAGGGTTCAAGTCCCGTGTCATGCTTTAGTATTTAGATTTTTAAACGACGTTTATTAAACAGTATTAATACCAGTCTAGAGTTTATAAGTGAGATGCAAGAGGTCGCGGCTGTCACTCATTTAATTACAGCAGTCGTAAAAGCCCACCATTCCACTCTGAAGCAGCGTGGTGGGTCCAAGTGACATAAGGATTAAAACACCTGTCCTAACGCAGGGGAGAATTGCGCGTGTTTATAATTATGTAACTATTGTCATATAGCAAAAAACTAGAGCAAATAAAATGGAGTGGAAAATTATTTTGGCAGAAGTTTGTTTGGATTTCGGAATCGTGAATAATATAGAAAAATAGAGCTGCGTTCGAACTATCTGTCGCTTTTTTAATTAAAAGTATTATTTATATATATGAAAATTTGACAGCTAGTACAATACGATAGTGACAAAATAGATATTAGAAAGCCAATAAAAAAAATACTAGCGACCCGCCCCGGATTCGCTCGTGTGCAATGCTTATACTAAATACACTACAAAAACACTGTGAACATAGTATATAAAATCTGCCTCTTGACTCACTCTATCTATTAAAAAAAATACGCATCTAAATTCTTTCCATAGTTTTAAAGTTTTAAGCGAACACAGGGACAGAAAAAGCGACTTTATTTTATACCATGTAGTAGGTACAATAATTCAAGTTTACATTAGAAATTGGCATAAGCACATCTTTTTTATATTAATATAATTGAGTGTTAGCTTATGCCACACTATTTACAGTTAAAATTTGAAGAACAACCATTTTTAAGGGCAGACTATAAAAGTTTACTATGTTAGATAATATTTAATTATTTTAACCTAAATATATCCATGTTAGGCCACTGGTATCCTCTCCCGGTTATCAAGACCTTACCCACCATTTAGCTCCAATGCGTTTTGTCGCATCCACAGTAGTGATAACCGATACCGCCGGCTTAACGTGCCCTGCCAGATGGTGGTCGCATTTCATACTTTCAAATGATGGTTACTTTTCGCCCGAACTCGATTTCGTGTACTACGGAGTAAACTACTCAATAAAAGGTAAAACCAATCAATGAGAGGATTGCGGTCATTAGCAAAACTTTAATTTAATATGTTCTTAATTATAATCAACCAGTAATTAAACTACATTAAAAATCCTGCGTAATATTGAAAATTAATATTTTTTTAAGATTGCTACATCTGCTCTCTCCATAAGTAATGAATCCGCTTTTAATGTAACGCGTTATTAGTAAAGAAACTTTTATTACGATAATGAATTACGTTTTTTATTGTTTTTACTTTTCTTATTTAAAAGTTTATGTACTCGAAAAGAGGACTATTTCACTATTAATTCAAAAGGCTATATAAATATCAAACACGGAATTTCTGGGTTTGACCTCCGGAAACGTATCTAATGTCTGTAAATAAAATAGACCAGTGAAATAGACACAGTACTGTTTCCGTTGCCGGTGATGTACCCTACATAATATATACTAGACAGCTTTTTACTACATTGTAATCAATTACGACAGAGGAGGACAGATATCCTTACCATCTACCATTACCTAATAGTGAAAACAATCCACATTTTGAATTGATATTAGAAGATGATATTGGTCTTGGTGAAAATCCCCAAAAAACTCTAAAGAAGAATACCAAAGAGCTCGTAGACGATTTTATGACATGTAACGTTCAAATAAAGAAACAATCGACGTTGTGTGTGGCAAAGCTCAATGAATTATCACTGTAACAAGTTAACTTATTTTTTAATATAATATAAGAACTTCTTTAAATTAGTTATATTTTTTTATTACTGTATACTGTTTTGCTTGTAACCAATTATTACTTTTTAAAGTTGAATATTGAAATGGTATAAAGTTACTCATAGTTACCAAGAAAATTTTCGTCGTAAACAGCCATGTTATATTCCAGAATTTTCGAAACGTTTCCTTCAACGATCGAGCCATCACAAACTTAAAAACTTCTTTTAGGTTTATCCCTTTAAACCTAAAAGAAGTTTATAATTCACTCACACCCGACACTTCCTCCCTTAATTATTATCTGTGGCGATAGTCGTACTACCTTCGCGCCAAAATACAATAGACTAAAGACTTAAGAGATGCGTCAGAGAGATTTTTGAAAGTCTAACCAAGAACCGAGACGATGAATTGAAAATTAAAGAGCTATATTTTTACTTTCTAAGCGTTATTGTTATTTGATACGCACTCATAATTAACAAAATTCTTAATTTGATGCCTTAAGTGAGCTTAACTGTAGTTTATGTAACTGAAAATAATGAGAAGACCGCATAAGACTATGAGCAGATGCTTATGGTCTTGTAATAATTACTATTAACGTATTGAAAAGGTTACGTGAATAATTCCAAATTCCGCATATCCAAAATCAAAATTGGTCGACATTTTATAGATATGTTATACATTGTATATCACTTTCCATCAACGAGCCCCATGCTCATCTGTCCTCCTCTGCCATGAATGCTGCAGAAGGTCGCAACTAAATAAAGGCAGTATAGCAAGTATATGACTATAAAATGATAAATACATTATTCAATCGTTTTTGACTTGCCGTCTTTAAATTCAATGTAACTGATTAATTATGGTTTTCCTGGATTAAAACCTAGGATATTTAAACGCAATGCTTTTAACCGAGGCGTTCACCGATGCACCACAGTTTTATAATTAATTAGTTATAAGATTGATCTACTACCTAACAATAGTAAAAAATAGCGGCAGGTATCTAATTTAATTTTCAATTCCTTAACAATCAGAGACATCTATTATGCTCTTGATTAGACATCAAACAACGGACGCTATTTGGTTCAAAATTCTAAATAATAACAAACTTTTTCAGCGTGACTTACAAAAAAGATAAAATTACGTTGCTCAGAAGAATTCTTGGCAGTTAACAACACGGGGCCATGGGGCATTAGGCTGAGACACTGCACGGTTATATTGATAAGTCCACAAAAACGACTTATTATGTTTACCCGGGATTCCAACCACGAGATCTTTCGAGCTCACTATGTTAAAGCATTTGCTAGCCAATAAAAAGATCTCATTAAAAGTTTGCGCAGTACTATAAATTTTATCGTGTAAATTGCAAATCTTTCGAGCAATTATTTTTAAATTGATAACAGGTTCGGAAACTAGAAACTTGTTCGAACTGATTTTATTACGAGTTCGGTATCGTCTCCTGTTTTAGTCTTGTTATTTTGTAATCAAACTAAACTCCAATTTAACGAGACCCCACTTATGGCTATTTTTGGCATGATCTTTAATGTTTGAATTAATTCCTGTTAACTAAAGACAACATAATTACTATATTTTACGATATCAAATAGAGTTTTTGCTCTTAAAAAAAAATACACGGCGGTAAAGAGATAAGCGAATACTGCAAAATAATCATAGATAGAGAAGTTTTGTTTAGTCAAAGGTATGAGAAATATTGTAATCATTGTTACTGGTCTAGTTTACAAATTTAATAAAACACTTTAAAATGTGGAATATTTGAGTTAAATTATTTTAATTATTATATTCTAATTGCTTAGTTCTTAAAATTCAAATTTCTACACGATATTTCTGTATTACATGCAAGCGAAAGACGAATATAATTAGTTTGGACTTAATTCCAGTTTTTTATAAACTTTGACATTCATCCCAATGCCATATAGTTGCTCATAGCTATTGATTTGACGGCAATGACTCATGGAAGTAAAGCTCGCAACGCCTTATTTGAACGGACATATATGTACAACTCGATCCAATGTAAGTGACTATTATTTCTTTATAGCTAAACACTCACAAACTTAAAATGATATAAAAACTTTTTTCACTAAGGACGTAAAGAAAAATTTAAAACGTTCTAAATTCACTTTTAAAACCTCAATCGAACTTCACATTTAAAAAGCGAATGTTATTTAAAATTGTAAGGATTCGAAATTCAAGTTTGACACAAGCGGTCCACGACGCGAGAGGCTGGCGACTGCATGATTCATTCGGATTGAAGGAAAACAAAAAGTACATTCGCGCATCTAATGCGAATTTCGTCTCTCGGCTCCGCATGCTAATTTATCCCGTATTTGTTTGTAATAAGGATGAGAATGTATTTTTTAATTTTAAAAGGGAAAAGTGATTCAAATAAATAACAGCCGTATTATGTGGAATAAACTGCTGCCCTATACTTGCTTGATTGGAGGGTTCATATTAATACTTGCGTAAAATCAAACTAGAATAATCGATACACTTATATATTGTATGTATGTGTATTGTTTAGTCTTTTATAGGTTTTTATACACATTATAAATTTACGATGATAGAGATAGTGTATTAAATGCCGAAAATAGAACAAACATATAAAAGTATAATTACATGAATTAAGCAATAATTCGGCGACTGTTCTTTGTTTGTAAAGACAAATTATACTTAGTATATTTTATGATAATTTTAATAGTTCTACTAACTAGATTGAGTGAATTAATAACGTACTTTTATGTGAAATACATTATGACCCAACGCACAAACTTGCGATTTCCAATGAAATATGACGGGCTCGTTAAAAAGCCGTACAGCTCAATAGCATTTCGGTTTAGCTAGTGAATGAAATAGCACTGTGACCCGTCAAATTTATCATGCTATATTCGACAATCTATATGAAGGGATAAAAATATATCGTGATTAAGAAAGTTAATTTGATATTCCACTTGTCAGCCCTGAAATACCAGCCTACATTTAACATATATAAGCGTGTATTGAGTGCTTGAGATAACATCTAGACCGAATCAGTGATAGAACCCAGATGTAAGCTTTTATGAGCATTGACTTTACCATTCGAGTTCGTTATTGCATATTTCGCTTTGAGGGCAGATGTGTTTCTGGTCTTTTATGTTTATACTGTAATATCTTAGATGATAAAGTTTGGGGTGTGCGCGCTGTATATTTTTGCAGTTGTTCTTAATTACTTTTGAGCAATACATTTGCCTCGTACATGTAAACAATACATTTTTGTAGATAGAAAGCAATTGTCAGTGAACAATAATTTCGATTAGCGTTAAATTTGAAGTATTTAGTTATTTTATATACATACTACTGACTGCGGCCGCGACTTTGTTCGCTTTTGCTTTTATCAACGACGTCATTCGCGGCGTTCTGGCACGTTAATCTTAATAGATAAACAAAAATCATATAAATACCACATAAAACTGAAAACCCGTTTCCCAAACGCGGGACTTTTATTTATTTATTATTCTTACAGAAACACACGTACATACAATTGCAAATAGACATTTATCAAATAATAACGTGAATTCTAGTTACAAAAAATAAATTAGGCAACATGGTAGTAGATTGGCAGTTATGTTTTGTATCATGATTTAAAAAAAAAGTTGAATAAAGCGCATTTATGTGTATCTTTCAATTAATTTTAAAACCGTTAAAACTGCGGTTTTAACGGTTTTAAAATGTGAATTGCATTATTCAATTGATTTTTACCTACAATTCGACGTTTCAAAAGCTGATGTTAATCACGTGTAGTCAAGGGGGGCTTAAGATGGTATCCTTAAAATCGAGTCTACTTTTTATATTTCTTACAAAAAATATTAGAGAAAAATATCTAAAAGCATAGAATGGAAGAGACAAATATTTGTGTTGGTTTCACTCAGTTTTTGTGCAGTTTCTAGCATGACACGTGCTTTTGAACACTTTCTATTTCAATAAATACACTGACAAGTAGTGAGAATGCTAAATAGCGTATGCAAATCGACTAAGTTTTATACATTACTGCGATAAGAGTTGCGACCGGCTTTTAAGTAACTTTTGCTTTCTGCAAAGGTCGGTTTTTGCATCTAAGTAATATCTGCAGAGCTGTCCTTTCTCAAACAGATAGTAACAAGTTGGAAGAATTTCTTCAATTGTTACTGTATAACTCATAGCAAGTTTCAGATCTTTTTAATGATTATTGTATATACATATGTAGTTATCCTTGACCTTTTTACGAAATACTAAGTTTGGATTGTATTTTATATTTGTAAGAGCGCCGTCTTCTTAAATGAAATTTACTGTACAATTATGATCTAAATATGAATATAATAAAATAGAATTAACAAGCAATATAGTTTGTTAGTTTCAAGCTATTCATTCATTTTTGTTTTTTTTTAGTTTTTGAATGCGAAAACAAGATGGCGCTGTTTGCATAACACAGGTCTGATATCAGATTATTTAAAATACTTACAAAGTTTTGCAAGGCCACGTTAATTCTCAAATCAATAAAGAATTATTTGCCTTCATTTATATATATTAGCTAAAGTACAATACTAACCCTGTGTGAAGTAGCGACAACATTGGGATGCGCAGGAGTCGGTCGCTCATCGCTGGATTCATCGCCCGACCGTTCGCCAGTGAAAACGGAGTCATGCGAGACGGATAGACCACTGCCGTAAGCGCCCTCTCTGTTGCAAGAATAATTAACGATTAGGTTACTCATTATGTGGTGCCAATAACTTTTTATAGAGTACATCACAAAATCAAACATCTTTTCAGTATAACAAATATTTTCAGAGTTATATCGTTGCTCCTAAGTTGTATAATTTGTCTTCTTATAACGAAGCGATGTTATCTTTTAAATAAAACACTTTAACGGTTTAAAACGCGATATAAGCAGCCGTGGTCACGGGGAGACCATGGCCGCTGTAAACGTCGGGCCGAAGTTAAAAAACATTGTCAAATAAGTTTAACTAATATATCGCGTTTTAAACCGTTAAAATGTTTTATTTAAATGTGTACTACTCGCATAAACGATGTTATCTTGTCTATGTCAATAGATTCTAATTTCTGTTGTGTTTCAGAACTTACTTTCTTCTCGTTTGTCGTTCCGCATCTAGCAGTTCGCTGGTGGAACTGCTCTTGGGGTCTGGAGAGCTGTCAACGCGACGGCGCTTGAACATGCGCCGTAAACCGCGCAAGAACCGACCTGTACGGCCTTCGCCTGAAAATTAAAAAAAAGTGGCTTTTAAGATAAACATGTGACAACATGTGTAATTAAACAGCTAATCATGAGATATCTCGTTTCGTCCCGTGGATGAGGTGGACATTTCTGTATCCGCTTCGCCGATCGATTATACTCAAACGCAAGTAGTTGATCAGAAATCTATGTCTAGACTGACCTTAACAATTAATTGTTTTCAAACGGAATAGAACCTAGAACTTCTAGTGCTAAAGTGCACAGTTTTAATCATTGAATGACGACCGTCGGCAATTTTTATCGAATAAATTAAATCTATTTTAGATGCTGCGTTCCATGCTGCTCGACCAATTGAGCTACCCCTACTCGTTCGTAACCACGGATTTGGTTAAACTTATTAACACCTATTTCAATTGGGTTACTTTAGGGAAAACATTTGTAGAAGAAGGTACCAGGAAACCTCTCACTCGCGGCTAATGTAGGTCTTGCAGGGTCTCGTTGTATATGATGAGAAAAGCTCTTGAAGTTTTAGGGTTACACCTTTGGATGAGTATTCCACTGCATACCGTCCTGTTGTGGCATTCGATTTCATTAGGTTAAAAGTCTTAAGTCTTACCATGAGTATTGTTGTCGGCGTGCGGCGGTCGGTATGGCGGCTCCAAGGAGCCCTCGCGCACGCACGACATCAGCCCCGCGCCGCCGCCGCCCGACATCCGCACTGCCCTGAAAGGAAATTCAATATGAGTAGATATTTCTACGAAAAATCGGTAGAAATCCCTTAATTTGTGAACAAACGAAAATGAGTTTCATTATTTAGTCAATTTCTTATCTATTTACAGATTTGATAAAACTATTATTTTAGCAGATTAAACAAAGAAGACATTTAAATATAACACTTTTAACGGTTTTAAACCCAAAGTATATAACTCAACTTATTTCTCATGTATTTAACTACGGCCCGATGTCCTACAGACAATACTTAATAAAATAACTCTTTTTACGGCATATATTTGGGATGTGTCATTGATCCTGTAAAAAGTTACACATTACCACTTAATATTCGCGTTTTAAACCGTTTAAGTGTTATGTTTTCTATGTGTGACTCGTGTAAACTACAATACAACTTGTCGTTAGCAGTTTTCGTTAAGTCTTAAATAAACCGGTAGATCGTTCCAGAGCGATTACGTTGTACGCTGTGGTTAAGCTAGATCAAGGACGTCACGCGGTTTAGACAAGATTTTTATAAATTATTATTACAATGCCATAATCTGAAGCCTTGAAATATGTACAGAAGCACTTTGTAGCTAAACTACACGTTTAAATAAAACATTTTTAACGGTTTAAAACGCGAAATGTACGAATTATTTACAATTTAATAAGTCTTATGTTTCTCACTTGAAACCGATGTTTTATTTAAATGTGTGCCACTCGCGTAACTACAGACAGTACGTTGCTTCCTCTTTAATCATCATATATTTAAATAAAACACTTTAACGGTTTAAAACGAACGAAATAGGTTAAGCTAGTTTGCAAATTAGTTTTAACTACGGTCCAACGTTTCATATATTGAGAATCAGGGCATTCGGGAGCATTGTAAGCAGCAAGCAGTTGCAGAATTAACTGTCTCGTGGGTCTTTTATAAACTCGACAGCAGATCAACAAGGCCCAGGTTCAATTCCTGGTTCAGGTGAAATGTTAATTTGATGAGTTCTTTCTTATGGAGTATCACTCCCAAGCCTTTGAGACCACGGTATGATGTAGGTGTGATACTTCCGGTTATCAACACTAACTTATTACTGTCTTACTGCCCCTGTTATTTCTGCCCACTCACTCAGAAGCAACTAGGAGGCTCTAACTATTAAATCCCATCTCCTTTGAGAATGAAGATCTACATTTCTGCCCAGCAGTGGAAAACGAGAGAAAAGCCATAATACTCAGTTTTAAATCTTTCCAAATTAAAAGAACTAAAATTTTCTCTATCTTTGTTTAGAAGTAATTCTTCGAATGCCAAGATGAGACCGTTCATTGAAGCTCTTCAACAATAGAGTACTCTCGATCGGTCAGCGACACAATAGTAAGATAAAAATAGTTGAAACTCGGATGTCAAGCTTCGTAGAGCTATACTTTGTTAAATATAGGATAGGATATCGTCTGTAGTTTATGCGAGTAACGAGACTTTAACGGTTTAATACGCGAAATATAGTGAAGTTAAAATAAGTTTAACTGATATATTTCGCAATTTAAACAGTTGATTAAATAAGGGATAATGCTTCGTCCGTTGATTTGTGTGACACTCAAATTGTCATTGTATAGACTTAAAATAAAAAATTACTTAAAAACAACGAAAATTTTATTTGATTTAGTTTTAGCTACAATAAATGGATGGGAAGAGTCATTAATGTGTGATAACCTATTTTTTTCTGGGAATCAATTTTTTGTAGGCGTAACTAAACATTCTATATTAGTCGAAGTATAATGATAATTTCATTATATATTGTGGGTACATATAATGTAATGTAAGCATGTGATTGTGGAATAGGAATGTTAAACCTAACAAATTACCAAAGTGCGGCTTCCCTCTACATAAATTAAGCAGAAACCCTACCAGATCTGATTAGATTAACATACAATCGCCAAGAAATTATGAGCTTGGCGACTGTCTATCATTGGATAATGTCAATGTCAAAATCAATTACAATGTACGACATAAACTTTTTATCGTTTCACTGGAAACCAAATGGAATTTCGGTCTGTGGATTTCAGAATGTCCAAAGCCTAAATGGTTCCTTCTTGCTTAGATGTTGTATGTTACTTTTTGCACTTTTATCAAATGATCTCATTTCTTAAATGGTCAAAAAGACACCAAAATAGCGCCACAATATACAAGTTCTGTTCTGAAGGTAACATAAAACCAATGGTAATAAATCAGTTTTAACGGTTTTAAACGCGAAATATGTAAGTTAACGCTTTTTCTTGTTAAATAACTAGTTAACAGCTGAAAAGCATCCAAACATTGGGTTGTTATTACATACAAGTTATCTAAAAAATAACATTTTAAACCGTTAGAAGTATTCCATTTAAATGTATAGAACTCCAGTAACTACAGACAATACTTTATACAAGTCGTGGGTTTTTGTTTGTTAATTTTAAAACCTGTAAAAAGGTCTCTGTATACTCGAATGTGGTTTTTAAGATAGTTGTTTAAACATTGTTTATTTTTAAGATAGAGGAAAACAGACAAGCAGGGCATCCACTAGACAGGAGAATTATCTTTGCCATATAACATCTGACACGATGTGCTGTCGAATTTTGGCTTTAGATATCGGGAAATCCACAGTCTGAAACCAAAACGTAATTAGACTTCACGGAATATTCATATATTTTTTGAAATATAAACGTTGTGTTTCTGAATAGTCGTATTTCTATTCTATTCTATCTGTAAATGATGGTTCGTGATCCGGAAAGAAACTCGATTTAGCACCCAGATTTTCAGACGACTAGTTGTAAGAACCCCTTTCAGAAAATTCACTGGGATCCCTGACAAGGTCAGGATGCTGTTTACCCGCAGGGGAAGGTCAAGGGCGCTTCGCCGATCGATGTGGATGCTGCGAGCGAGATGGATATAAAACACCCTAAAGAGGGAAAAAGACAGACCTTTTCCGATTTCTTAATATTTTTTATCGCTAAAAATAAGTAACAGGAAATGGTTTATTGGAAAAAGTATGATATGTATAGTATAGTAGGTATATTTTTATGCTCGTTGGTCGATTGGTACCAAAGTATGCCTAATAATTGAGAGGTCGTGGGTTTACTAACAATTTTTTTTTCTGAAACAGTGACTTTTGTGTGAACAATTTGGGTATTAAATAAGTGAAAAGAATATCGAAATTCGTAAAGTTTAATCGCGTATCGGTTTCAGTCCGGATTTCCCAAAGTCTAAGCCCAACATAGGTCGACAGCGCTATTTGTTTAAGTGTTATATGACTGGAAATTTTCACGATTATTATTTCCTATTAGGGACAATAGAAAATTAGATAGAATAGCCGGGTGATCAGTACACAATATCAGCTGACTATTTCAGCGATTTCAGGAGCAAGTAACATTTTATGCGAACCAGGTTTCGAATACAGGACTCCGGTCTATAGACGAGTGCTAACCACTGGAGCAACGACACTGCTCTGTTTTGATTCTTGGTTAGTTGTAGAGCCTTGGTCTGATTGAACTATGTATTGTATTAAGTGTACCTTGAATGATGAAACAGGCCACAAGCCACGACCCTGACACGGCTAGGATGCTGGATCGATGCAACCAGATGCAGCTGAGCGTGAATTAACGGTATGTGGAAAATAGAGATTTTGAAGAGCTTATTAATTGAAAGCTATACGCAGCTAGTAATCAACGGGTCGTAGGTTTGGTTACCGTCAAGAAAATTGTCTTTTAAAACAATGTATTAGATTATTAGAAATAAAGTACGGCTAGAAAATATGGACTGTGGTGGAGTATCTAAATAAATCACAGTTTATAACGCGAAATTAATTTACTTGTTTTTAATTTATTTATCTATAGTCCGACGTTCCAGCTGCTTTGCAGCAGCCGTGTTCACGGAAGGTGATCGCACATAGCTATTGTGCACGGGTCACAAACCACTGTCCACAGATAAAAGAGCCGGGAAGTGATGTCGTGTTTTGTTTTCTGTGGATTTACAAATATTCAATACCGTTAGTCGTCGCATCTTGGCGGAACCATTAATATCGAAAAAGCTTAACGAACTATTACATAGTTTAAGCGAGTAGTACAGATTAAAATAAAGCACTTTTAACGGTTTAAAACCCAAAATTTATGACTTTTATTTAATTTAAGCATTCGACGGTTCTTACGTCGCACGTGACTTTGTAAAATGGCAACGAAAGCCTTACACAATTTATTTAAGCGAAGCCTATCAAAATTTAATGCTGAAACAAAATAATCATATTTCAGGATCAGGTGTTGGAAGCGGTGACAAAGTGCGTCTCATAATATAAAGATAAAGACTCCAATTTATTTCGCTCTCACGAAGCTAATAGCCCAATGATTAGCTTGTTTGAGGAGAATTTATTTTAAGCTTAAATGGGACACTTAAAATGTTTATAAGAGTACTTTATAAAAGGGTTTCAAATAAAATAAGCAATGTTTTTCTTTTTTATGCTTAATGCCCATTACCCTATTTGGAGCATAGGGCAGACTTTTTACATGATAGAGCACGACAGACAAGCACAGGGCTCATTTAATGAAAGGTGTAATACCTCACTCATGGAACATCAGACTTAAATACTGTCTGTAGTTTACGCGAGTATCACACATTTGAACAACACACTTTAACGGTTTAAAACGCGTTTCGGATGCTTCGCAGCAGAAGACGTGGTTAAGGTGAGACGGGGCGGAGTTAAAATTTTTTAAACTAAATTAACTAAAAAAATTCGCGTTTAAAACCGTTAACATGTTTTATTTAATGACTAAAAACTTACAAATGCATGTTGTTTAACATGACTTGTAGGACTACTTGTGACGCCCATAGGGATTAACGTGTTTAAAAGAGATAGTGTAGTTGCATACAACAAATTAATAACAATAAAAGTATAAAACTTAGTAAATTATACAAGCAAATAAAGTAAAATAATTACAGAAGGTGTATTTTCGCATATCATTTAAAATAAATTAACTGTTTGAAACGCAATAGACATAAAGCATCCCAAACGTCAGGTGGAAGTAATGAGTAAACTAATACATATCGCATTTAAAACCGTTAAAACCGCATTTCTTTAATATTAAAAGCCTATATAAGTCGTTGTCTCACGTTGTATTAAACACTTTGAAATTCAAATCGCGCTGAAATATAGTCAAGTTTCTCTCGCTAGAAATCTTCACCGCTGAATTAATTACAGAAAAACGTTTTTCTTATTACCTCAATAAGAATTACGGTCCGTTTGAGGTAGAAAGACGTTAATAATCTAGTTCTTTTTTGTGATGGAGAGTTGCCTGGATAAATGGTAATCCTGGGTTCAAATCCCAGAAACGTTAAGTTTTGAACGGGATGTGTATATAAGACTGACCGACGACTAGCTTGTAATTAAATCAGTCAATGAAACGATCACACAAATGTGTTAGCTCCATACCCCACAAGTGGAAACGGAATTATACGGAATACGGGAGGGGCCAAACCAATATCTGACTCGCTGAGGTTTTCACTGACAAGTAGGTGGCCATACTTCCCTTCGTGTCCAAGCGAAATATTTTATCAGAGGTTTCTCTAAAGAAACGAAGAAATCGAACTAACAGTGGCAGGACTGGAACCAGTCTACTACTACTCAATAACAATGTTATCAAGTATTGTCTATAGTTTAGGCGAGTAGTACACATTTAAATAAAACAGCTTTAAGGGTTAAACATATATTAGTAGGATATTTTTAATTTATCCCCGTGGCTACACCTGTTGCAAAGTATCCGAAACGTACGGACTGAAGTTAAAATAAATTACACTTAAGTTAACTAATATATTTCGCGTTTTAAACCGTTAAAATGATTTATTTAAACTACGTTATTACTTAATTACGTTTTTAAGATATTTTAAACAAATTCCAACCTTTATTCGTTGTACGTATCTAATACCTATATAACGCCCAAGAGTTTGTTTGTTTGAACGCAGTAATCTCTGGTTCGAATTGAATTTATACTTTTGTAGTTTAAAAATGATAATCTACAAGAACACTTCTTCTTCTTCTTCTCAGTCATATCTCTCTTGGCAGAGAGGTCGTGATCGTCACGTAGCATTGTAGGAAGAGGTAGATCGTATTCGCGCTCAAGAGCAGTGACCGAAAATTATTGTTGAAAACTTAATTGTGACACTAATAATACTACAAATTCATTTTCGCCTAAGTTAATTGCGCATTTTTATTGCACGTTTCTTGTTGAAAATCGTATCTTTTGTAATCAGGCCACTCTGTCTCTGGCCTCATATTTATACCTCATTCACCGCATGTACTGTATTCTCATCGCGTGAACTTACCCTTTGGTTTAAGGGTTTGTTGCGACGCCGGCAGCCATGGTGACCGGCGACCCACTCACGACCTGGAACAAATAAACACCAATCATTAATATACAATACCGAAAACAACCGTATATAAACTATACATGAAACTTTGAAATGCCAGTACTCAACTCACAATCTAAACAGAAAATAATTGCCAGATCAATAAAGAATCTAACACGTATTAAAGAATTTGTATTAATTAACTATTGATATATTATATATATATACTCTATTATTATTATTTTATATGATAAAGCAACCTGATAATACTCTTAAAATCACCATTTTAGGTTTTACGCGGTAAAACCGCCATCTTTCTTCCGATTTTGACGTTTAATATACAAATGACAAGTTCAAATGACATATGCCTAAATACATATATATGTTAAACCGTGGAAATGGCGGGAAATTTAAATTACTCTTATATGTTTTTGTTCAAAGCTTTAAAAATGGTTCCAATGTTATTTCACAGGATGGCATTAATTAAAAATGTATTTATTTAGGAGCAGCGGCACAGAATGTTGTGGAAGACGGTTGATATTCCGCCCGTGACTTTAAATTTTTTAATTTGTATCTAAATTTTGTAAGGCAACTATCTTATAAAGCGGTATGTATAGGCTTTCCAGCTGTTAGGTCGTCCTAATTTAACCCACCCAGTCTTCGCTTAGTCATCAACAAGACTAAACGTCGAGAAGCATTTCTCAATTACGACGACTTCATCTATGTGTAATCTCACAAAATCTAAAGAAATAATTGGTTACTATGACACTAGTTTTTGTAATTGTAGTTGTCATGCACATAGAATATAATGTCAAATATAAATAAAGACGTCAACAACAGTGAGGTTGTAGAAAGATTTCTTTTTTACATCGTCTTATTTCCTTAGCAAGTAGGTCAGACCGTTGTTCTTATCATAGTCATTTGAGACTGCAACGTTTTTATAAGTATTGTTCACAAGCAGAGGTGAAAAAGGCATGTAAAGGTAACTCCTTATTTTTACGTTAAAAGAACATCTACTCCCTTAAAAACAATGCACAAATGCCTAAAACGTAATAATAATATTGCCGAAATTACATATTATAGGGTAGGTAAGTAGGAAGTTATAGAATACGAACCTTTATTTAGCGCTTTATGCTATCAAATATATATCTTTATGAAAAAGTAGGTTTGTTGATAATGCACCACTCATCCACTCCCGCTCTAGATTTGTTCCAACTTTGTTGTTTTTGCAAACGTTCAGCGAAATTCCCCCGAACTTTGGTGGATCATTTTATTGGAAACTAGCTGAGTCAGCAACTCCGCACGCGTAGAATAGTTATTTTAGGTATCAATGTTTGTTTTTACAAACCTCCTCTGCAACTCTATAAACTCAAGCTGTTACACACATCGTCGTCCGCGTCCCGTCGTCCTTGCAAGTAAATCTTACAAGATCGAAATATGTATTTTTTAGGTATCTTGAACCATTTTCGCAACGTACGCAATGGAAACCTACCTGGATGATTTTCCCCGTTTTTTTTTCGATATTTCCCGCTGTATCTTTGCTTCTATTAGTCACAGCGATTGTTTTATAGCCTATAGCCTTCCTCAATAAATGTCCTATCCAACACAAAAATATTTTTTCAATTCGAACCAGTAGTTCCTTAGATTAGCGCAAGCAAACGAACAAACGAACTCTTCAGCTTTATATATTAGTATGGATAGTTTCGAGTTAAAACAGGTACGGGATGTTTTAATAAATTTTAACGGTTTAAACGCCAAATGTATTAGATAAACGTAATAGATTTCGCGTTTTAAGGCGTTCCAAATATTTTATCCAAATGTATAATCGCGTAAACGACAGACAGTACCAACTTAGATACGGCGTGTGTTTGTTATGATAGTTTAGATATTAGGCTTCGGATAAAATGATCCACCTTTATATACAAAAGTCAGGGACAGTATATGTCTGTCTGTCTTTTGAGATTAACTTGCATAATCGACGGAACGCGGACGTCATCGTCGTGGGTATCAGCTATAATTTATAAAAATGTGAAGGAGGTTTGCAAAAATAAATTTTAATGGCGAATAAAACTACGCGGACAAAGTCGCTGGCGCAGCTAGTAAGAAGTATGTGATAAAAAATATAGGAGTATGTTTGTATAACCTACTCTATAAGATGAACAAAGTATAATTTAAAACAAAAGACATTCTCCCCGTTGTTTATCCGTCTGTCAAGAACCTTAACAAAATATTATTAAGCCGCGTGGGAACAAGAAATTACGGTTGAAAGATTATGTTATTCTGTAAAGGGAGGTATAAAATATGAGATTACGGTTCATCTATTATGTTCACGGGCATTATTGAGAGATAATAAATTTATTTATGTTAAATATTCTCTGTAGTTTACGCGAATAGTCTACATATTTAAATAAAACACTTTAACGGTATAAAACGCGATATATTTTAGTGAAACTTAAAGCCGTCGTCACGGGGAGACTGCTGCAAAGCATCCAAAACGTCAGTCCGTTTTAAAAATAATTTCAAAAAAGTTGAATAAATATATGCATTTTAAATTAAAGTGTTTGTTTAGATTTATTTATTTCTAGCTGAGATATGGTAACTGTTAGATTTTAACAAATTTATAAAGTATTATCTATATTTATTTATTTATTTATTTTTTATTGAAAAAATATTAATACAATAAAACTATGTGCTACAATGAAGTCAATTGGCCTTATCCTAACAACTATCTCTTCCAGTTAAATAAATTTTAGGTGAAAAATTTTGAGTAATTGTTATAACAATACAAAGAACATATTGAAAATAGAAACATTTAAATAAACCACTTTAAGGTTTAAAGCATATTATTTAAATTATTTTAACTAGGGCCGATGTTTCGCCTCCCCGTGGCCATGGCTGCTGCAAAGATCTCTTGTCTTATGTGGTACGTTTTAAACCTTTAAAGTGTTTTATTTAAATGTTACTACTCGCTAAACTACAGACACTGTTTATATAGAACCATCATTTTTATGGTGTAATGTACTGTATGATAGCTTATGTTAAACGTACCGATAGCTACCGTTCTATTATAAGTTTAATTAAAAAAAGTAGTATATAAATTAAATATCGAGGCTATTAATTTTATATCAACTGCTTTTTCTCCTAAATTCACGTTCCCAAAGCCAACCAATAAAAAATCTCAAGTGAATTTCATTAAGAGTATAAGCTCATTGAATAACATTGTAATTCTGTAAGCTTATAAAACTTCGAGAATATATCTCTGAGACTTCACTTAATTACTTTTCGAGATAATTAAAAGTTGGCAGCGCACGATATTACTTTACTTAGTCTTTAGCACTTCTTGTCTTGTATTAAAAAGAGTTAGAAATATAATATACTAGCTGTGCCAGCGACTTCGTCCGCTAAGACTATTTATCTTCGGGCATCTAAATTCGTTAACTCTTTATGTTTATAAACTTAAGCAATTCCCCACGACGTCAGTCGCGTCCCTTTCCGTCGATCTTACAAGTTAATCTGAAAATCAAGACGTATAGCGTCGCGGACTGTTTTTAGATCATTTAAAGAGGAATCATTCTTTCATACATATTTTTTGGTTATCTTGAACCGTTTTTGCAGCGTACGCCTCGGTTACCCATAATGATGAATAATTTTTCCAATTTTCTTCACATTTCTCGCTGTATCTTCGCTTGTATTAGACACAGGGGGGTGTTTTATAGCCTTTCTCGATAAATGCTCTAACTAACACGAAAAAAAAATATTTAATTCAAACTCAGGTACTTCCTGAGATTAGCGTGCAAACAAACAAACAACCTCTTCAACATTATATATTAGTATAGATGTATAAAGTTTTTTATTAGGTCTCGATATCCATCGGGTCCCACAGTTGGGAATAGCACCTTTGATATGACACCACCTACGGCACTGCCCAAATGTGTACACTTATGTCGTCAATTCCAGGCCATGCCGATATCCTGAAGTTTTCCTTTTTTATGATAGAGCAGGACAGATAAGCACTCGGCTCACTTGATAGAAGGTGAAATACAACAAACAAACAATCTAAACAATATGCGCTATCGATCTATTTTGGCTTTGGATATTAGTAAATCCATAGAGTGTAACCGAAACGTGATTAAACTTCAAGGCTTCTTCATCTGTGAACGGTGGTTCGTGACCCGGACGGAATTTCGATATTCCTTCCACATTTAATATCCAAGTTCAAGATGTTTCACAGCTGGTTACTTCATAAAAATAGTAAATTTGTGGACGAACAACAAGACAACAAGAACAGAAGTCTAGTACACTATTGACCAAAGATGTGAATAAGAAATTGTCGATAAAAAGTTTACTGTATTATACAATCAAATTCAGTTTAAGCTTGAATTATTACATTCACTTATAAAATAAATGTTTCATAGAACTCTTGTAATAACTTCGCTTTTCCCAAGAAATTTGTTACGAATTCTACATCTGTGTTTTCGTTTCGCAGTCCTTGACCGCAACCCGGCGTTATCTCTCCAGAGGTTTCATTAAAATATTCTATCATCCGACGAAAATAATTGCAAATTTAAATAACAAATGGATTCACGTTGAAAACCATTGAAAATACAAGAGGGGATTTATTCCGATTTGTATATATTAATATAAATTCTTTTACTTTTAGATAAGTCAACAAATGTATTAGCAAAGCCGCGGTGAAATTTTGATCCTATCAAGCAATTAATTTGTATAATTATCAATGTTTAAGGTTATATGTGTAGTGTCAGTTATTTACGCGAGTTTACATAAAATACTTTTAACGGTTTAAAACACGACATATTAGTTAATTATTATTAAAACTTTTAACCCCACAGTCCTCGTGATCACGAACGCTGCAAAGCATCCGAAACGTCGGACCAAGTCGCGGACACACCTAGTAAAGATATAATAACGTTGTGCTGTTTACAATTTCATAGCGAGAAATATACTTCCATTAAGCAATAACTATCATAAAGGCCGTTATATTATCGAAATTGGTGATATTTAATGTAACATATTGAAATGTCGTCCCGGCGCCGGGCCTAGGGACCTTTCCTTTACCCCATAAATACCAAGGTCCAAAGGACAGAATAGGGCTAACACAATACACATTAAGTCATATATATTTATGTAGGTATTAGGAGAAAAAGTGAAAAGGTTAAATGATAACATAATATACTAGCTGTGCCAGCGACTTCGTGCGCGAGAATCGTTATTTTGAGGCATACAATTTCGTTTTTACAATTTCCTTCATCTTTATAAACTTAAGC